GTCCAGATTACAACGAAGAGAACTTTTACTATCAATATATATCACAAGAATACAGGTAGGAGCAACACAAGGTAACATGCAACATCGACCGACCAAGACTGAATGGAACTGAACTGAACTAAATACACAGAGGAATTAAGCTAAATGGGGTGAAAACAGGTGAAACAGATGAACAAAACGAGGAACAGGTGGCTAATGAGGGAGTGAGTTCAGGAGAGGAGACAAGAGGATCTTGGGAAGTGTAGTGCTGGAGACGCAGACTGTGACACTTTCTTTGTATTGTTGCTTATTTTCAATAAACTGTTCTGTTTTTGCAACTGTAATCTCGTGCTGACTTTTTATTACACATTACAGGCTACACAAATTTAATAGACTTCGGCTACAATATTTAAAGCATAGCTACAATGAGCTACACATAGGCTTACACCTTAAGAAAAATAATATTTAAAAATACCAGTCATTTAAAATAATTTTTGTATATTTGACAAATATATTTACTGATATTGCATTAACATTTCATTGTGGTATTCATAGTGAATTACACCTTTACAAAAAAAAACGACTTCTTCCTCAACGCTATCATGATGTTATCAAAGACATCTTGGAGTCAACACGTCAAAGAATTATACGCCTTAATAATTACTTTTCCTCTCAGACAATCCAGCCATTTTAGACTATTTCATATAATTAATCTAATAAATATCTCTTCTGACATTTGAATATAGAGAGACTGCAACACCTGAAATGTTTGTCAGATTAGAGAGACGTCCAAAATGTGTCCAGCTGGAGAACCTGATCTAGAGTTTCATGACTGAACTCCATATTTATTAGAAATGTTTACATTATTACACAAATACTGTCACAACGGCTGATTCTTGAGTTGTGATCATGGTTTCTCAATGATTTTTATTATTTTTTATATTTTAAGTATCACAACCTTCTTTATATGTAAATGTGCAGCAGAAGTGAAAGTGTTCCAGTCCAGATGATGTGACCAATCAGAGAGTGAGACTGAAAGCCCATTTGCATTGTCAGGGTGGAGTGATTGTGATCTCTCAGAATAGAGCAGCTCTGTCTCCAGAGACCATGTTCAAACCCCAAGAGCTTTATTTGACATTTACTGCCACATCAACCTTCTGAAAAGCTCCTGCATCTTCATCTGTTAGTTGAATGATGTTGTCAGACACAAAGTGAACTTGTTGAGAAGCTTTATTGAATGTTGCAGCAAACACACACACACACACACACACACACACACTGTTTGAGTATTGAGTTGTAAAGCACTCCAGCTGCAGCACTAGACTCATGTGAATCCTGCCTGACACAGGACACTCAGATACGGCTCATCTTCAGGAGAGAAACATCAGCACTCAGAGCTCTTGTGGAACGAGACCTCATGAGGAGCTCCATCATGTGTTACTCTGCAGACGTACAGCTCTCCCTCTTCCCAGCGTGCTTTGCTGAGGGTCAGGACGCTACTGCGGCTGTAGCGGCCGTCCTGCTGGCTCTCTGCGCTGGTCAGAACCCCCTCGGTGACCTCTGACCCGTCCAGTGTCCAGCTCACCAGCGCCCCCTGTGGAGAGTAAGAGCTGAGCAGGCAGAGCAGTGCGGCTGAGTCTCCAGAGATCTGCAGAGAAGAGGGCGGCAGCAGAGACACTGAGGGCTTCACTGTGGGACCAGCTGCAGGAGACACACACACACACACACACACACACACACACACACACACACACAGACACACCACATCAATCAAACTAAACATTGCAATACACAGACTGCTTTCATTCAGTTTAAATGGATATCCCAAAATAAAGTTAGTTTGTACTCAAGTGAGATATTCAACAAATAAAATACTCAATGTAAAAGTTTGACTCAAGCTCACATAAAAAGAAATGTATATAACTTATAAGAACTAGAAAACAACGTCTGTGTTTGTATTATAAAGCACTGAATTATAAGCACAACATGAGCAAAAGAGATTCAGTATCATTGACTGAACTACAGAAAGGAGCAACATTTACATTCTGATGTCAAATCTCTTTTTACATGTATGATTTCTACAATAAAAGATGAACTAAATATGAACTCAGTGTAGAAATAAATGAAGGAAAAACAAACCTGTAATAAACTGAATAAACTCATAGTGAGACGCAGTATAGAGATATGCTTAGAATTGTTTGGTGAAAGGAATAATGCTATTCTGATAATAATATCATTGTTTTAGATTAAATAATTATACAAAAATATCAGTAACACTTTAAAGCCTTTATACATATTGCATTATAAATGTATTTTAATGCATTAATTATATATTGTTTTACTCATTATAATGCATGTATGATCTCATCAATAATTGTAACCAAGGCTTTAACACATTATAATATTATCTATTCATTTTCACACTCATGACAAACAACCAATTTCAGATGTAACAAGATATTTTAAGTATTATAATACATTTTAAATGTGGTTGCAATTATTTAAGAAAATATATACTGCATTATAACATACATTATGAAAACCTTTAAGGTGTATCGTACATTAAAGCTTGAAGTAAAGTTTTACCACAACATCTAATCATCAAAATAACCATTTATTATTAATAAATGTTGTTCTTGTTTCAACTGTAAAACACTTTCTGAAATCTAAATTGATTTATTTTTAGGGGTTCAAGCACGAAGTGCTGAAACCCTATTGTAATTGTATTGATTTTTATTATTATTATTATTCTCCCCTAAAACGCATCGTGCAGCCCAAACCGTAAGGGCTAGAGCTCTGAAACTTTGTCAGATGGTAGTACAAAAATCGAGGAGAGGTTATCAAATTATGAGCCCGATTGGCCCATAGGTGGCGCTATAGCGACCAACTGCGCAAAACGGCTCATAACTCCTAGACCGTAAGTCGTACACTCAAGTGTCTTATATCATTGGAAAGCTGGTCACCTGACGAAAAAAACGTATATCTCCGATTTCATTTCCGGTATGGAAATTTTTCCGCCATTTTGAATTTTGTCGAAAAACTACTTTTGCGAACTAGTCCCTGGTTTTTTGCCCGATCGGAACCAAACCAGTGCAGAAATGTTCTCTGGAGTCTGAAGATCAATAATTATCAAAAAAAATGTTGAAATTTCTATTTCCGGTCGCTAGGGGAAGCAAAATAAACGTTGTGGGAGGAGCCTATTTTACTAAATTGGCTATAACTCAAGAAGTAAATGAGATATCTTCACCAAACTCGGTACACATGTGTACGAGTTCAATTTGAGGTCACAGTAAAAAAATAGCGACGATTGAACACTAGGTGGCGCTATAACATGAAAAAAACATAAAAAGGGCTATGACCACATGACCGTTAGTCCGATTGACTTGAAAATTGGTATGCAGTGTCTTGGACCAAGGCCCCATGTATATCTATGAGGACATTGGCGTATGTAAAAAAACATGGCCGCCATCGGCCAATGAAGTTTGAGCACCTGTGAGACAAGGTTAACGGAGGCCCATCGGAACGAAACTCGATGGGCATGTTCGACTCATGGCCCTAGAGGTCTGTAAGAATTTTGAAAAAAATCGGCCACTAGTTGGCGCTAACGAGTTTTATGGCTCTGTTATCACGTGGTGTTGCACACACCCCCACAATATGTATATAAATTGATAGATCTCCTCATGCTGAACAACTTTGCCTCAAGAACCATTGCTGTCAATCAAATCGTTCGTTAAATATTCACGAATATGTTAAAAACGTACTTTTGCGAACTAGTCCCTGGTTTTTTGCCCGATCGGAACCAGACCAGTCTGGGACAATTCTTTGGACTCTCTAGATCAATAATTATCAAAAAAGTTGAACTTTGTCATTTGTTTTGCTATAACAGGGTCATTTAAAAAAGGGGGCATGACAAAATGCACCCAAAAGCCTATAAATCCTAAAGGAAAAGTCAGAACTTCACAAAAATTGATGAGCATATGTGTCATAACGTATTCAACAAGCATGCAAAGTTTCATGGAGATCGGACTATAGGTGGCGCTATAATTGTTAAAAATATTAAAAACAATGTATACCCTATAGTAAATTGCCATTATTAAAACTTAAAACTTAATGTCTTTTGATGCTTTTGTGCTTAAAGGCCTTAAAGGCCTAAACTGCTTGAACCCCGCTAAATGCTGCTTGCAGCTTTAATTTAAATATGTAATTAAAAAGACTTACATCTGATCACCAGTTTAGTTCCTCCACCGAATGTGTACCACAGTGATCCAATCTAATGAAACACTCGTACAAAAACCTCTATTCCACTCGAGTGAACACACACTCCAGCAGAGAGAGAGAAACAACACTTCAACACACTGATATTAGAAGATCCTCAGCTCTTCTCAACACTCACTCATTCAGATTTGACTAAATGCTTTCTGATATAACACTGTTTAAAGAAATATATGGGATGAGCTGTGACCTCTGAGGTGACCTTTGACCTCTTTGATCATGGATGATGTTGTGGAGTTTCTCATAATGATGCTTCTGTTCTTCATATGCAGATCAATCATCATGATTGACAGAAAAACCTGCAGCTTCACACTTCAATCTTCAGTGAGAATCTGTTCAAATAATGACTTTATTGAATATTAGAGCCAAAGTCAATAGAAAGTGTGACAATGAAGATCTCAAAGTTGTGTTTTGCATGTTTTCATATTCAAGGTGTGTTATAAAAGTATCTGGACTGGTTCTGAATCTCATGAAACGTGAACAAGCTCTAATATGTGTCCATCTTTAACAGCCTGTTTCTTCTCCATCTGATGATTTCAGACACACATGAGGCTTCATGATAGATGGAGTGACACCATGAACTCTGATTAGAGATTCACAATCAGTCCTGATACTTTCTGAACACACTCATGATTCATGATCTTACTTTAGTGATGGCGCTTCATCTAGTGGAAGTGTAGCAGTGATGATGGTCACATGACTGAATATGGACACAGAGATGGACGTTCATCTGCACATCCTCAGTGTCTCAGGAGTCACAATAAACACACTAAATAAAGTCATGATTGTGTAACTCTAGTGTATATGAGTGTGTTGTCAGCACAAGCTGTTGTAAATCCTGCCCACTTCTTTGCATTGTCAGCACATGCTTCAGTGCTCTGAGAGTGTTTATAGTGCTGTGAGTTTAACACTTCATGACTGAGAGCAGAACACACACACTCTTCATCATCACACAAGACTAAACTACAACTATGAACAACATCTGCATCTTCATCTGGACCATTGCACTGTTTGCTCAAGGTTTGTGTAATTCTGTTTTTACAATAATTATAAATTCTCTTAAAATCTAAATTATATCTATTTATCATATACTGTATATCATCATATATAATTTTCATTTTTGTTTGTTTTCTTCCAGAGTGTAGAGGACAGATCACTGTAACTCAGAGTCCATCAATATCAGCAGTTCAACCAGGAGAACAAGTCAGAATAAACTGTAAAACCAGCAGTAGAGTGTATGTGTATGGTGGTTATCATTACTTAGCCTGGTACTCACAGAAACCCGGAGAAGCTCCTAAACTCCTGATATATGATGCAACAAGACTTTATACTGGAACTCCATCTAGATTCAGTGGCAGTGGATCTGGCAGTGATTTTACTCTGAGCATCAGTGGAGTCCAGACTGAAGATACAGGAGATTATTACTGTCAGAGTGCACACAGTGGTCCAGTGTTCACACAGTGATAAAGAGTCGTACAAAAACCTCTGTCAGTCAGACGTCACAGTGACTGCACTGATACAGCTGAGAGAAACTGCAGCTGCTGATGGAGGATCACACACTACACAATATCAATGTCTAGCAAACTTTATAAAGACTTTAAAGGTAAATGTAATATATGCTTTTCTGTGTCCGTGATACAGAGTAATTACTTATTAATTACTTAGTATTAAACATTGTAAGAACATGTTAAAACATGTAATTAATAGGGATGTCCCGATACCACTTTTTCACTTCCGATACCGATACCGATGCCGCACCTTTGGCTTTTGCCGATACCGATATTAGTCCGATATTTTTTTTTTCTTGGTCCGACGTGCCGTATACGGCCCACAGGGTGGTTTATAGGTTTAACTTTGTGAAAGACAAAACAAAACAAACACAAAAGTAAACATAATACATATCTTTGGAAAGCTGAGAAACTCGTGATTCGAACGACGTAAACCATTTTAAGATACAATCAACACAGCGGGCACAATCTGTCTCTTTGTCAGACCACCAACAGCCAAAACAAACCAACACAAACTGGAAGAAACTCACCAATTAGCCATCTGTTAGTCCACATTCCAACAAAAATGGTTTGGTTTCACTGTAAAGCGTCCATACAATCCAATTTGAAGAAGTTTTTAGTCCAAAACAATTGTATATATGAATAAACATCCATGGAATGTAAATAGTAGCATTTCGCGTTAGCCGACAGCGCTATCACAACTTCGACGCACTAATGCTACGTTCACACCGGACGCGAATAGGGCGTCAGGCGCGAATGATTTCAATGTTAAGTCAATGCAAGAAAAATTCCTGCGGCGCGAATGAGGCGTGGAGCGCGGCGCGGAAGACGCGAATACGCCTCATTCGCGCGTCAAGTTGGCTGAACTTTGGCGTGAATTCGCGCCGCGTTAACCAATCAGGAGCCTAGCTGCTTGCTCACGTGGTGAAGTGTCTGGATGCTTCAATAAATTATTTTGTTAATATGACTAAATGCATGGTGGGATTATGCACAACAAAGCAAATGTTTCATCACTTAAAACATTATTTCTATATGGAGACATGTTCATTTTGTATTGAATGTTATTCATTCCATATCTAGAAATAGTATTATGTTGTAAAGACAATCAACATATGTGCATAAATTCGTGTCTGGACGTGAGAGAGAGAAAAAAATCACAGGACAGGTTAATAACTTTTGAAGGCTGGCTCTATTTATTATCAAAACAAAAATAAATGACAGCTAGATTAGATGGATGAGGGGCCGGGCGAGGGTGATCCTCGCTCAGATGCGGGACAACAGGTCATCAAACTGGGCGCAGGACAGGCGGAAGTACCGCTGACAGCGGCCGTCATCCAGCGCAGCTCCTGGAGCGAGCAAATGCTGAAACTCGCCAAACGGTTCGGCTCCGAAGGGTCCGGTGGACACAAATATACGGCGACGATGATCCCCACGCCGCTGTTCTGCTATCCAGAGTAAATACAGAGCGGTAACTCTCTTGATGAATGCTCGGTCGACATAAAAACAATGACCGCCAACGGATTTTGATTCTGACGCGCGTCACGCGCGTAAATTTCGCTTCAAACTTTACGCGCGCCAGTTTCGCTCTTGACACGCAAAGCGAGAGTGATTCTCTGCGCGCGTGTGCGTAAACACAACAATCATCACGTGACAGGCTGCGCCGCTAAACTGGATATCGCTCATATTTTTTTCTCCCCTCCGATCTCCGATCTAGCGTTCTGGGCCGGTATCGGCGCGATACCGATGCCGTGGATCGGATCGGGACATCCCTAGTAATTAACATGTAACTAAGTTATGGAACAGCTACACATGTGTTACAGGCCGAGTCGGTTACATTTGTTTAAACACGTGTTTAATTTAGTTACATTTGTGATGAATGTATTGTTTGCTAGAGACGATTCAGCATCAGCAAAAACAGCGAGTCTATTAAGTTATCCAAAATCATCAGTCAAACTGATCCCTCGTGACTCTTCCCTTTGATTATCTAATTTAGATTTTAGTAAAGACAAGAACAACTTAATAAAAAATATAAAATATTGTTTGTATCCATAACATTTACTTACGGTCGCCGTTATGCCGACGTTACGTTACGACACACAATACAGTGCCTTACACCGTGTCCTAACTGCACACGCCGCGACACGAGATAAAAGGTATCTTTTCCATGTTAATCAGAGTTTTTGTCCTAACCAGACGCGACGGCGACACACAAAGCTTCTAATTTAGAAACGGTTCCTCTTTCTGCGACGAAATTACACTGGTTATGAGTACACATTATTTATTTTTAGTTAAAAATAGGTCACTGTGCCACAAGCGACAGACTTTGAAAGCATGTAATATGGCGTTCAAAATGAATTATATGTAAACATACAACTGTACTTTATAACAAAATTAGTCAATGAATATATTTTGTTAATGTTTTGATTTTTAATAATGTTATTTCTTGATTTGATTATGTCCTTACCCATTTCCAAAGCGAGTGCGGGCCAACAGTGCGCTTTCACAGAGAGACTCCGCCCACTCGCTGTTCTGAATGGCTGTGATTTTTGATTGACGTGTGGCGTCTCACAGTCGCGTCTAGTGTGGACAGACACTCTTGCTGTCGCTGGAATTTTATCGTGTCACGTGTAGTTCGGACACGGTGTTATTAGGGGTTTGATCATTTGATTAGCTTTTCGGTTGCACAGCTAAATGAACAAATAAATACAGAAATATATCAAAGTATTCACGTAAACACAGTAGATGTAATTACTAGATTGTAAGTACTGTAAGTACTCTAAACACTCTCTCTCTCTCTCTCTCTCACACACACACACACACACACACACACACACGCAGACAGAGGGAACTATACTCATCAGTTGATAACTCAACCTCACTGTGAAAGCCCTTCACAATTAATATTGAAAGTTTGTTTGCTAAATATTTGTTTGTTTTTATGGACCTAATAATTAGCCTAATGCTGTTGAAATTTACCTGAAAAAAGCACGTCTTTAATAATAATATTATATATTTATTTTACTGTGGCTCTTTTGGAAAAATGCATTAACCATAAATAAAAAAAAAAAAGGCTATTTGGTCAAAAAAGGTTTCGTACCCCTGAGATAAGCAGTCTTATAAATCCAATTCCTCTCAGATATCTCTTGTGCCTGGCACAAATCTAAAAGGGGTTGGTCTGAAGTAGGTTCATTATTCATAGGTGTGGTTTGGGTGTAACGTGAAATAAACCAATCAGAGCGCCATCCAACATACCCTTTAAGAGCAGGTGCGCATGTTGCATGACGGATTGTTATTATAACGGCGGGTTTACCAGGCGCGCGTCAGGAGCGTTCACAGCCGATGAGACCGACGATCTTGTAGACAGTGAAAGACAGAGAGGCGACGGTGTATGGGGATGGAGAAACTCTCGCACATCAGCGTCGGTTAAACATTATATACATATGTTTCTTGCCACTATTGGGCAAACAGGTCTGATCCTTCCTTAATAAAATTAGCCTTAAAAAATGGGTAATAAGTTTTTTTCATCTTCATGTAAAGCACAATGATTTCCCTCATGTGTTAATATTTTTCCTTGTTATAATGTATGATTTGCAAAAATAAAAACTGCTGAATCTGTGTTGATGAGAGAATCAGTGTATGTGCGTTGTGTACCCGCTACATTATGGCCAAGCAAGCGCGCTTAAAATAGCATTATGAACAACGTGCCACTGACTTTAGACCAGGTGTTTTCTGGTCAGTGGCGCAATTGTTTTCTGGAAGTGTAAAATATCACCAGGGAATGTTTGCGCCGATCCGCCCAGGGAGCGCAAGTTCATTCTCTAGTTTACCGACGTGCGTCTGTGGAGGGAAAATCCCGCTTTGCGCGCGTGGGAAATAGGAATGAGACATGCGTTTGTGTATAAAGTTATTTGCGCCGGGTGCAAGATAGAGCCCATTGACTTTTTCAGGCAAGAGTAGTTGAAGAAAGTAGCTGGAGCCTTACCATGAAAAGGCTAAAAGTGGGGATATTGCCAGCTTTTTTGCAAAATAAAATGAAATAAAATAAAAAATAAAAGTAGTACACAGGAGGAAGAGTGTGAGGGAAATGAAGGAGAAGGCAGTAAACTGGAGAGTCCATGAGGGTCATTTGTGGACTATATATGTTTTTAATTATAATAAGAACTTGAGTATTGTCAACTGTTTTATATCTGTAGTCCACTACACCTTGGACACAATTATTGTACTTTTTGAAATAAATTTTCATTTTGCTTTTTATACTTTTACTTTTTAAAAGATGCACAGTTTGTTTTGTTTGAACACTGCACTGGGCTCAAACCTTTGATTAAACAAAAACTACTAGAGTTTAAAAGTGTTTTATGTTTGTTTTGTTAAAACAATTCACATATAGGGATTGCCATGTACCGTCTACCCCTGCCACCCTGCCGACACCTCTTGCCACCCCTTTGCCCCCCATGTCAAATTTTCTAGATCCGCCATTGGTCTCAGGAGTCACAATAAACACACTAAATAAAGTCATGATTGTGTAACTCTAGTGTATATGAGTGTGTTGTCAGCACAAGCTGTTGTAAATCCTGCCCACTTCTTTGCATTGTCAGCACATGCTTCAGTGCTCTGAGAGTGTTTATAGTGCTGTGAGTTTAACACTTCATGACTGAGAGCAGAACACACACACTCTTCATCATCACACAAGACTAAACTACAACTATGAACAACATCTGCATCTTCATCTGGACCATTGCACTGTTTATTCAAGGTTTGTGTAATACAGTTTTTATAATAATTATAAATTCTCTTAAAATGTGAAATAAATATTAATCATTTGTGTGTGTTTTCTTCCAGAGTGTAGAGGACAGATCACTGTAACTCAGAGTCCGTCAATATCAGCAGTTCAACCAGGAGAACAAGTCAGAATAAACTGTAAAACCAGCAGTGATGTGTATGTGTCGAGTGTTCATTACTTAGCCTGGTATCAGCAGAAACCTGGAGAAGCTCCTAAACTCCTGATATATTATGCATCAACCCTTTATACTGGAACTCCATCTAGATTCAGTGGCAGTGGATCTGGCAGTGATTTTACTCTGAGCATCAGTGGAGTCCAGACTGAAGATACAGGAGATTATTACTGTCAGAGTTTACATTATCCAAACAGTAAATGGGTGTTCACACAGTGATAAAGAGTCGTACAAAAACCTCTGTCAGTCAGACGTCACAGTGACTGCACTGATACAGCTGAGAGAAACTGCAGCTGCTGATGGAGGATCACACACTACACAATATCAAACCTTCAACACACTTTATTCATTTATTAGGATGTAAGTAAACATGTAACAAATAATGTAATATCTCTTACTAAAATTGACACAAATGTGGAGTGTACGGATCTCCAATGTATGGCATAAAATGTGGTTAATGGATAATTTGACGCGCTTCCCTGTAAAAGTGTCTGTTATCAGCAGATTGTGTTCATGTGTGCCCAGACAGTTCAGAAATCCCGACCAGCTGATGTTTTATGGCCAATCATCTTCTGCATTTTGACATTAACACACACGCCACATGATCCTGTGTGTGATGTGTTACCCACCTCGGTAGACATACCTCCACATGATAAAGTTGACCGGCTCCGATAATAACAAATGCACATGAGCGGCAGAAGGGGGGACGAGGGTGCCGCAAATGAGGAATTTTCGACAGTGTTGTGAAATATACGTCCCTCAGCTGTAGGGGGAGCTCGTAGAGACAACACGCAACAACAAAAGTGAAGATCGGCCAACAAATGGCCAGAGTTGCCAAGTTCCCCTTTAAAGCACATAAACTGTGATATAAGAAATCATTTATTTCCTGCGTGACCTGTAAAATCACGTCTACAAACCTCTTGCGTAGTGTTTGCTCTCACCACAAGGTGTCACTGTGGCCTCAAAGCTTCAGCACTGCCACTCTGAGATCGATTGCTATGTCTGAGGTAAAACACGCCCCCTCATTAGCATACAGAGCAATACATCTATAAATAAATATAGACATAAATACAAATATACATAAATGGGGGGCAGCAGTAATATGTTAACTGAACAATTATTTGAACTGTACATTACTCTAAACATTGGAACATTTATTTTTATATAATTTATCCACAAAGTGTGCAGCTTTTGTCACTGCAGTGTCTCTTTCTGGGCTGGAAGAGCATTTCCAGAGCCTCTTGATATGGGGAGTCAGAAACGTCTGGCCTGTTTATTGAGATCCGACCGCATGCATGCTGTAAGATGGTCTCCTTGCAGTCTATTGCAGATGTTTTGTCAATTTGTTAATAAAGAATCAAACATATTATTGATCGAATCATAATAAAATAAAATGACCTGCTATCAGACTTGACTGGCGCTGACAGGCTGTTCTGTGATGCTCAGATGCCACATGTTCGTCAAGTTTGTCCTTTCTGTAGGACTGGCAGGGAGACTCTATAAATGGCCGGGTCTGATTTCCTCTCACAACCGCTTGTTTATGTTGTCTACATATTCGACAGAACATTCATAAAACCAAAAAGATATCTTAAATAATTTCCTTTGAATGGTTTCTGTGCTTATTTAATCAGCAGATTTACAATGTCCTGACTAAACACATTTTAAATACACATTTTAAAGTATGTAAATAGTAAGTGGTATGTAATTCATTCATATAAATGTTATTGTTAATGAAATTACAGGTTTCAGTTACCCTTCATGTAATTACCACAATATATTATGAATAAGTTAGGCCGTAAGTAATTGCTATGTCATGAGTTAGATGAGAACCCTGCTGTCACATTTATTTATGTATGTATTTAGTTAATTACCAAGATCAGTCTTGTATTACTTAAGGGCTATTTAGTTTGTTTAATAAATTAACAAATTGTAGTCTGGCACTATAAAGGAGGAGGGTGGGGCGAGCCGTAAGGGGTAGGGGCGAGTTGTTAGGAGGGCGGGGTGAACTGTTAGGAGGGAGGGGCAAGTCATTAGGAGGGCGGGGCGAGGCGTTAGGAGGGTGGGGTGAGCTGTTAGATAGATATAGATAGATAGATAGATACTTTATTAATCCGTTAAGGAAATTCAAGTTTCCAGTAGCAACAATGAATTAAAAACAAACAAACAGGACAAAAATATGAAAATATATAAAAATTAAATTAAGCCCTGCTCACAGGGATGAGTTAAAAAGGTGTATCGCCTGAGGGACAAAAGACTTCCTCAGTCTGTCGGTGGAGCAGGACAAAGAGAGCATCCTGTCGCTGAAGGTGCTCTTCTGTCTAACAATTATATTGTGCAGTGGGTGAAAGGTATTTTCTAGGATAGAAGAAAATTTACTAAGAGTCTTCCTCTCTGCCACCGATGTTAAAGAGTCAAGTTTCACCCCCACCACTGAACCAGCCTTCTTCACCAGCTTATCCAGCCGCATTTTTTTAATGCCACTCCCCCAACATACTACAGCATAGAAGAGGACACTAGCGACAACCGTCTGATAAAACATCTGCAGTAGCTTCTGAAAAATATTGAAGGAGCCTAACCTTCTCAGAAAGTATAGTCTACTCTGTCCCTTCCTGTATAAAGCATCTATGTTTTTGGACCAGTCCAGTCTGTTGTCCAACTGCAGACCTAGATATTTGTAGGAGTGTGTGGCAAGCCGTTAGGAGGGCGGGGCTCCACCTTATACAATGATAGGGGAAACTCTGACATATGATACTCTGCCTAACAATTTAGACATATGCATCTTTTCTCATGTCTTCAACTCTCTTAAACTTTTCAAATTAGGAATTATAGCATGTGTCAGCAAAAATAATTATCTCTTTACACGCCATTAGAATGAACACGTTCATTATACTTTCTCTTATGAACCAACAGGTTCCCTTTTTTTAAGCACTGTCACCTTTAACTTCTGACTCGGTTAACTTCTGACTGCGATTTCACTTTTTTCATTTTAAATAGTGTGTAATGTTGCTGTTGGTGCATGAACAGTATCTGCAAAGTTGCAGCTCTGAAAGTTCAGTGTCAGCAGAGATATCGTCTTTTAAAAATCAGGAAGTATAATTGCCTACAAAAACGACTGGATTGGGACTACAGCTGGGTTATGGTACGTCACTAACCCACACATTTGCATCAACCACTCCCTCAGAAAATGGCATGCATATATTTCTGAGGCACGTCGACTCGTCGAGTGTGTTGTTCACGCAGCTGTCAGGTCTTTTGTGTTCGAGCTTCCCACGGACGCTGTACTTCGTCAACAATGGATACAATTTATGTTTGATTATGTTCCTGAAAATGACGATCGTAATTTCGCTCTCTGTGCTGCGCATTTACGGAAGACAGCTTCCAGAATCTCAACGAGTTCAACACCGGATTCAACAAGAAACTGTTACTAAAACATGAAGCAGATCCAACTTTAAAACCAGAGGCAGCAGTTGTTGGGCCACAACCTGTAAGTCGGCGAAGACTTCATCATTTTAAATGTATTTGTATATATAATTCCAGACGTAGCCTTGTGTTTTATTTTTTTCAAATGCCAGCGCTGGCTTTATAGCACTAGTTAGCCTATGCTATTTTGTGTCTACGACAAACGCGTACAAACATTATGGACCTGAATTTTCTATAAGTACTAATGTTTTAAACGTATTTTTTCATGTATATATGTTTTATGATGTTATTTTCGATTTGATCACGAACGTAAACTTGCCAACGCTGTTTGAGTATAACATTAGTAGCCAGTCAGTTGCTATTGTTGCCAGTCAGATGCTATTGTGTTAAAAAAAAACGTGTATAAAGTTAAAAAAATGTAGCAAATTATCATTCAGAAACGTTTAGTAAGAGCCGTGTGTGGTGAGGTTCTGTTTGACTCTCTTCATCGCCGCTTTCTTGGTCTGATTCTGCCTCAAACCGATACTGCAGTTCGACGCATATTTACATCTGGACCGGAGCTCATGACATACATGTTTCGCCCGTAAAGGTAATGGGCGTTAACCTTCCGGGCAACGTGAGCGACAGTTTAGCCAATCACAACACACCGGCCCAAACTAACCAATCTGAGCCCACTGACCGTTTCTGCTGGAGTGTTTTCATAGACTCAGGAAGTGAACCGCTCGTTCGAGGACAGAGAAGAGCGCGGCTGACAATAAACGTGAAGTTAATGAAAAATAAGACTTTTTAAAAAAGAAAAAACACGAATACATGTTATATTGCACCCCATAAACACAATCATGCAAAGAAAAAAAAGCAGTCAAACCCCCCCCCTTTAACTGTTACATTAGTACTCAAAAGCACAAATAATAATGTATAAATTCACTTTGTTAAATTTGTCCTGATACTTTCTGAACACACTCATGATTCATGATCTTACTTTAGTGATGGCGCTTCATCTAGTGGAAGTGTAGCAGTGATGATGGTCACATGACTGAATATGGACACAGAGATGGACGTTCATCTGCACATCCTCAGTGTCTCAGGAGTCACAATAAACACACTAAATAAAGTCATGATTGTGTAACTCTAGTGTATATGAGTGTGTTGTCAGCACAAGCTGTTGTAAATCCTGCCCACTTCTTTGCATTGTCAGCACATGCTTCAGTGCTCTGAGAGTGTTTATAGTGCTGTGAGTTTAACACTTCATGACTGAGAGCAGAACACACACACTCTTCATCATCACACAAGACTAAACTACAACTATGAACAACATCTGCATCTTCATCTGGACTCTGACTCTCTGCATTCAGGGTAAATATATTTATTAATATATTGCAAAACAAACAATCACATCTCATTTACAGTCCAATAACCATTAATTAATAAAATGTCTAATTTCAGAAGTCTGGGGACAAGTGACAGTGACTCAGAATCCAGCAATAAAATCCGTCAAACAAGGAGAAACTGTTACAATCAGCTGTAAAACCAGTCAGCCGATCTCTGGCTGTAATGACTGTGTGTCCTGGTATCAGCAGAAACCTGGAGAAGCTCCTAAACTCCTGATTTATTGGATAAGAAGCCGTTATACTGGAACTCCATCTAGATTCAGTGGCAGTGGATCTGACTATGGCAGTGATTTTACTCTGAGCATCAGTGGAGTCCAGACTGAAGATACAGGAGATTATTACTGTCTGAGTTATCATGTAATCAACAGTCAGTGTGTTCACACAGTGATAAAGAGTCGTACAAAAACCTCTGTCAGTCAGACGTCACAGTGACTGCACTGATACAGCTGAGAGAAACTGCAGCTGCTGATGGAGGATCACACACTACACAATATCAATGTCTAGTTCAAAGTTTCTAAAGACTTTAAAGGTACCTGTAATAAAAGATTTTCTTTATACTAAAATACATTTACCCAGATAATTGTTCATTGACTATTACTGCCATTCATGTGTGTATCTCTCTCAAATGCATGACGGTAAAAACCGCATTCTGGTTGTCTATCTACTGTATTACAAAACAAATAATACATATAAATAACTAACATTAAAATTATACTGTTATTCTATAGCATAAAAGTATTCATTCGGGTCATGTGACGTCACTGATGCTTTGCTTTATTTTTAAATGTCTGTTGTGGAGAGTATTTACGTAAAATGAGTCAGTTATGTCTTTAACAGAGTTGTCATACAGTCTCTTTGGTAGAGAGAGAGAGAGACGAGTAAAACAAACAAGCATGCAAATGGAAATTATCGCAGCCGGAAAAATGATCGAGCTCATTTTTTTTATCATGCGATTAAATGATTTATTGACTATCGCAACAGGCCTAATCCAGATTAATGACAGCTAGCCGTGAGCCGTGACTAACAGCTGGCAAGCTAACAGCTGTTAGCCACTTAACTAGCTAATAACGCTACCTAAGCCCCTTTCACACAGAGATTCCGGAAAATACACGGATAATGTGACCCGGCATTTGTCCCGGGATTGTTTGGTTTTGGTTCATTCACACTGCCAGTGATTTGCCGGGATCTGTGAGTGTGTTCACACACAACGTGGAAAGATCCCGGAAAGACACATGACGTCAGGATGAGACGTGTAACATACGCGTCGAAAACATGTACACGCGCATACCGTTCCACAGCGCCGGTGAACGATCTCAGCGTGGATAGTGAGGAGCTCCTGGTCTCTGCTTCGCTCCAGTTTGCAGGTATTTGTTCGTCCTTTCTTTGTTGATGACGAACACAAACTTTCTTCTAAGAGCAACAGAGTCGCGCGATGGCACGAGCGTCATCACTATGACACACCCCTTACGGCATTGGTCCTGGCTTTTGTTTCAGTCTCATTGGCTAAGCGCAATACCTGCCAAGCTAAGCCATTTATTTTTAGCAAGCTAGCAGCAGTGCCTCCCCCCACGAGGAAAGACCACCCAGTCATAGCTAGTCTACTTGTCCACGGATCCCAAAGTTTGGTACCTTGAAACATAAGAGGTATCTTTTCATCGGATAGTTCCGTCCTCATGATGTAAATTGAACTGTCTTTCTAATTCCCTCTCCTCTTCTTCAGGTATGCTAGTATGCGAGATAAGTTCGGATAGCATATGAGTTTTCGGTGTCGGGTCTACCATTCTAATTTCAAGTGGGACGTAAGTGTCGGTACCTGCAGTCCACCAGGCACAAAAGTATTTACCACCCCATTGGGTAGTGCCATCATTTCCTGTTGACAGTGTAACTTTCAGTTTGATCTTACGATTTTCAGTGATTTCTTCTATCTTCGAAAGACCTGATTTCACCCGTCTGCTGTAACCACTATATGAGGTATACCCTGCTCTGGTTAAGAGGCCTTCTCTAACAGCCTCCTCATTACCTCCATACACATCTCCCCATCCGCAGGGATCCTTACAAAAATACATGGCTTTACCCCACTTGTTCAGACGCTCTGGATTGTACCCAGGTCCTGCTGCTGAGATAGGATCACATATTATAACAATTTCACTCCCTTTTCCTCTTGTCATGTTCACTTTGATGCTACCATCCTGTGCTAGGCCTATGGCCAGGCTAGTTAAGAGGATAAGATTTAGTAACATATTGCCACACCCGGCAACCTCGCCAGGCGAGATAATGTTCTTGTGTGAACGATATAAGTCCTGTTTGCCTATTTATCGCTGGTCTTAGGGCCGGTCTAGTAGATATTATTAAACAAGTTACTGCAATGCCCTCTCCGTCAAAATTCCACAGAGTTCTTGACAACGTACGTATTACCCCTAAGATCGCAGAATCGTCTTGTACGATAGATTCGTCCTCTCTCCAATGACGATGATTTGCAAGTGAGAAACCTACAGGTTGGCAAGCAAAGTCAGTTAGTCTTAAACCTGTTCGGATCTCGTAAGCTGTGAGTGGGATTGCCCGTCCGTTGCAGCTTCCGCGTGAGCTGATTGCCTGGAGTTGGAGTTTTCCCCTGTTGCAGCTACCGCACGAGCTGATGTTGCAGCTACCGCATGAGCCGATACTCTGGAATTGTCGTCCTCCACCGTTGCAGCTACCGCATGAGCTGGCACTTTCCGACAGTGCGTCCCGTGGATCCACGGAGCTCTCTCTCCGACTTTCACCGCAGTGTGAGTTGTCAGCAAAACCTGAAATGGCCCCTGCCACCTCTTTGCTTTCCAGTGCTTCCGCCTCAGATCCTTTATCAGCACGAAATCTCCTGGTCGGATGCTATGCAGGGCCGTCTCAGCTGGCACTGGAGCTGCTGCTTTGACCTGTCGTGAGATAGCAGAAAACACCTTATCCAGCTCAACACAATAGTTCAACATATCATGCTCACAAAGAGTGGTGTCAGGCAGTGGTCTAGGATTGTGGGGTTCCCAGCCCATGTGAGGTGGACGACCAAACAGAATCTCAAATGGAGAGAGTTGTGCGCGTCCCCTCTTCCTCATTCTCATATAAGTTAATGCAATGGGCAAGGCCTTGGGCCAAGGAAGCCCTGTTTTCGCCAGCTTATTCTTAATAGTAGCGTTTTCACGTTCGATGGCCCCCCCTGCTTTCGGAAAATAAACGCAATGCCTCTTCCAGGAAGTTCCCAGGAATGCCTCGACTGCTGAGATTGCGCTGTTGACAAAATGCGACCCATTATCACTTGATAACTTTTCAGGAATACCCCATCGCGGGACTATCTCCTGTAGGAGTAGTTTTGCCACCCCTTTAGCATCTGCCTTTGCTGTTGGCATAGCTTCTACCCATTTTGAAAACATGTCTACCGCAACTATGCAGTATTTCTTTTTGTCAGATTGTGTCAACTCAATATTATCAAGCATTACATGTGAGAATGGTCTTTGCGGAATGGGATGCCCCGCCTGTCTCATTGCCTGACCCCTGCCGACATTGTTAGTTCCACAAATCATACATCTGCTGCAATAATCTGCTGCCACTGTGGAGAAACCTTTAGTAAACCAGTTATTTTGCATAGCATTAAACATTCCACTTTTCGACACGTGATCCAGTCCATGTGTCAGCTTAGCATAAGCCTGAAAGAAATGAGAAGGTAAACATGGTTTATTGTTGGGGCCCCTCCATTGTCCATTCACAAACACACACCCCGCCTTTCTCCACTTCTCTTTGTCAGAGGGAGAAGCGTGCTGCTGCATAATCTCAACGTCTCCTAATTCTTCCTGCATCTGAACTGCAGTGGTTATCTGAACAGGAAGTAGTGCTGCAGCCTTAGCAGCTAGGTCAGCCGCTCTGTTTCCTCTAGACACTTCATCAATGCCTGTGGTCCCAGATAGCACTGAACGTCTTGCCGACGTTGGCAATTGGAGGGCACCAGCGGCAAAGTATCGGGAGGGGATTTTCCCCTGCACAACAAAAAACTTTGGTGGGTAAACCATCGGCGGGCCGCGGGATGAATAGCCACTTTCATGCACAACTCCGGAGATCGGTGGAGGAACCGTGATGAACCATTTTGCCGATCCCGCTTCTATTTTTTTAAATAAATAATATCTGCGCAACCGTTGGTCCACATCAAGACCTTCACGCGCGTGCACACGTTTTTATGACGGTGCGCTATGCGCGTGAGTGATCTCAGCATCGTCTACACTACAGCCTACAGCTAAGTCTACAGCAACGGACTCTGTGAGTATGTTTATCCTTTTCAAACACACCGTTTTCAGGCCAGTAAGTGTTTATTTTGTTTTATGTACTTATTTTTTCATTGAAAAATATAATTTTGTTAGAAAACGTCGAGTTTTCTGAGAAATGTTTACGATACGGATGACAGAGATTGGCGGCGGAGGATCAACAGTCATTTTCTAACTGTTGACTTTAATTATTAACTGACTGTTTTATGTTCTCGCATTAAATATTTTCAATTAGTTATTTTTGACAGTAGCCTATGTATTTTTAGACATGAGGGGAACTCGTTTTTCGTCAGTCTGAGGATAACCTAAAACAACCAGGCTAAACTAATAAACGGTCATAAAACTATGGACTGACTTTTTTCCAAACAATCATACATCTGTCCATTTATAATATTAACCCCTTACACTCAAGGGATTTTTAATTATTTTGTTTAAGTGACATATGCTTAAAATTAAAGCAGCTCTTTTGTTGTGCGTTTACCGTGAAAAGTAGACCTGTCAATCAAAGACCTAGTTTAGTACAAGCGCGCATGCCACTAGACAGTCATACAAAGAAGTGGTTATAGTAAAGTGATAGTAAGTGAAGACACACAGCTATTCATAAAAATAGAGCCTTAACCTTTGTTAAACAAAATAGAATGGTCTTTTCTGTTTTTTTTCAGTGAGTGATTGATCTAGAAGTCATCCTACAGTTCTGAATTGCCATTTTCTTAACGTACTGTTTTAGTCAATAAAGATAAATTGAGTGCACATTAATTCACAAAGGCATTTGCAATATATTTGACTCCTTTTCATGTTTCGTCTTTTTCTCAACAGGAGCTACATACACCCCAAAGGCTCTTTTCAGAGCCCAGGCCCATTTTGCACAGCGTCTTTGCCTTTGTACAGTAAGTATGTGTTTTAATTGACCTCAAAGACAACTGAAACACTATCTTTAACTAATCTAGTTAAAAGTTATTTTGCACATGATTTCCATTACACGAGAGTAGATGTTAAAACTTCATGCAGATTTGTACTCGGCTTTCGCCAAGATTAGCACAAACTAAGGCGTAGCTTTATAGTAAACTATGCTTCTCCATCCATTTACACTTCTTTCCATATGTTGGTGTGACTCCCCTTCTGTCCGGCATTACGGCTGCAGTGTACTTGCCGCGTCAGCACACACGACGGCTGGAACTACAGTATGGTCTTCCCAGTGGACCAGCACCACATCCATCTGGATTGAGACGAGTAGGGGACATCTCTAGGGTCTTCACATATTGATACACACGTATGTAATAACTTTCCCCTGTTTGCTTGTCTTGATTATTGGCATCCTAAGATCCTAAAACATGTGACCTTTACCTGTCTCTGCCTTTACTGTCTGTACTATTAATTTTGCATCAGGAAAGCCTATACCTTATAGTGGAGCGAGTGGACTAGTAGCAAAGGAATGGTTTAGAGGTAGGCCAGGGCAGTAATGTAGTGGAAATATTTATCTTTGACCTAAATAAGGCTACAGGAGAACTCCATTGTCAACATCAGGTTAATGCTGAGTGCTGTAACGTTGCAAATTTTATGTTTATGTTGGTATAGATATTTGTCAACTGTCTATCACTGTCAATAAAAGGTATTTTTTGTCACTCAGCAAATATGATAGAGGCATGGCAAACTCAAATTTTTCTGGACACGATAATTTACATTTGCATGCTTGTTTATTTTCCTCGTCGTCTCTCTCTGTCTCTCTATACCAAAGAGACTGGATGACAAACTCCCGGTTCCTTAGCGTGAACTAGAGCTTAGATTCTCTGCCCGAGCAAGGACTTGACCCGACCTGGGCTGACACTATCCTCGGGTCGGGCCTTAGATCTAGAGACGTGCACTCCCAACGCAATAGAGTGCGGCGCTGCACTAGATTCGATGGCCGAGTGCAAGCGGTAATGCACTCACTCTGTGTGTGCGAGTTGCGGGAGAATAAACCGATTTGCGGTACTCCCGCAAACTAGAAATATTTATTTATAAAACATATAAAAACTAATAGATTTTTAGTCATCTGCAAGAACAACTAAAACAAAGTAGTAACGATTTACAGGCTAGAGTTTCTATTTATAACATGTTTGCATTATTGAGCAATGTAGCCAATCACATGTTGATTTCTTGAACGCCAATCAGAAGCATTTAAGATATACTTCCCTCACTGCTCAAAACAGACTTTTTTTATTCAGTGATGAATTCTGTATGCTGGCAAATCCTCTAATTATAACAAACAAAGTGTAGCCTAGATATTATATGAGATTCATTGTGCAGTCAGCTTCATTGGTAATAACAGAGATGTGTGAGATCATGATGAACTGTCAGCTTTTTTGGAATTATTAAGGGAGCCCATTCAGTCATGCCAGACAATGCACGCAGTAGCTGCTTGCTTTATGTTAAATTAACAGTGGTTTGTGTGTTAATGTTTTAATAACAAATAATTTAGGGTATGGTCGGGTTTTGTTTACAACCATTTTATTTGTATTTTGGCTATTTATTCAAGTGCATTTTCTGTTAACCGGGACATTGCTTTTATTGTTTTTTGGTTGTTTTGTTCATTTATTTTGTATATTTAAAATGTTTTCCAATTTCAGTGAGCTTCATATGTTTTTTGACTTTTTGATCATCCTCTTTGTATCACACAGAGTATGTCACCCATGTCATATTTCTCTCTGTTCGATGTGATCAATATGATAACTAATCTTTGTAAAAACGTTTCATTTACAGACCATTGCAAGGCAAGGCAAGGCAAGGCAAGTTTATTTATATAGCACATTTCATACACAATGGCAATTCAAAGTGCTTTACATAGAAGAAATTAAAATAATCAAAATAAATCAGAATAATTAAAACAGTTTAGAATAAAAAATAAGAAATAATGAAAAATAAAAATTATGATAAAAATAAAATACAGTAAATTAAAACTATTTAGAATAAAATGAAGTGCAGTAACAGTCGGACGAACAGTGCAACTTGGATCACCATCACCACCACCATCCCCTGCATCAGACACCCTAAATCGTGCCCTTCATCAGACACCCTACAGTAAATGCACCACAAACAACACAGGCAAAGAAGAAGAAAACGCACGACAAATCTCCTCCAGCCCATCCCACATCATCGTATAGTAAAGGTAAGTGTCCCCTCTGTAGTAAACTGCATCAGGTCCCTAAACTCAAGTAGACACAGTGTACTGCACAGGTCCACAGCGCATACCATAGTTTGGTGTTCCAGATATGATTTTGGAGTTTATATTGGTAGTGTGATAAGTTAGCCAAGGTTTTCTGTCTTTCCAAGAGGCCGCAGTTAATATTCAAGAAGGAGGACTGGAGGACTGATATGGAAGCACATGGGTAGCAATATTCAATTTGAAATGTAATGTGCAAAATGACAATGCAATATGTAAAGTGGCATTGCCAATGGCATTATAAGTGTCAAAATGAAAATGCATTACAGAAATGATTAGATATGTGTAACATGTTCAAGCAAAAACTGTGGCAAATTTAATGATCATTCAAATGTTACTTTTCTTAATTGCGTTTACACTCACAGTCAAGACACTTGCGATGAAATTAATCAAATTAAATCATGAAATTAATTTTCATTCAAATTGAATATTGCTACCCATGTGCTTCCATAGACTGAAGGCTTTCCTGACTGTAAGCTATTTAAGACGCAGACAAAGAACACACTGACACACACTCGCAAACACATATAGAGCACAGCACAGTTCTATGCAAAGTGGGGAATGACAGAAAAAGTTTGAGAACCACTGATGTGGAGTGACACTGGGTTAGCTCTGTTATTTTGACATGGGTTAAGATGAGTTGCTGCTGATAGAAATGTGTGGCAATTATTACTCAGCTCACTGACATTAGTTTATATAATTGTGATAAACTTGACTTACTGTTCACTCCAATAATTTGGTTTTTCTCTATTTTCTAGTGACGCCGCCGGATAATAATGACGGCCTGTGTGCTTTGCAGCCTTTTCCAGGGATCCTTCAGAGGACTAACAATGGTACGATATTTTATATGTAATGTATGCTACTGCACTTCTTACTCAGAACATCAGACTAAATTAGTAAAAGCATAAATTTGCTTTATTTATTTTTTATTTTGTTTCGTTTAGGTGCTGTGTTAAGAAATCCTACCCAACAAAATTCCACTGAGGCAGATGTAGAGATGACTGCGAGAAACTGGCTGCGGCTGAGGAGGGACAGGAAGCAAGAGGGCGAGCATCTTAAAGTGAAATAATTGATTGGACTGATTTTTCCTGTTTACCTATTTTGGAGGGAATTTCTTTTTGTTGTTGTTGTACTTTTCTATGTGTGATTTGATGAGTGTTAAAATAAATGATACTGCTTTTGCAAAAACAAAAGTAAAAAATAAATGTTCAAGGTCATCTTCCGGTGCTCTCATTTTTATTATTTATCCTGGAAAACTCCTAGCTTAATTTGCATGACCATCAAACTTAATTTTAATATCACTGATCCATTCATTTTTTATGTTAGACTGACATTTCCCAGGTAGCCAGACTGTGTTTGAAATAGGCTACACCCTACACAAACAATCACTAACTTTCAATTTAACTTTCACTTCAATTTAATTGCAATTGTCAAAATTGTTAGGGAAGAAATGTTACGATTAACAAATCATAGTGTTATTGATTGTTGATAGACAATAGGCAACCTGTGTCCTTGGAACAATCTGACAGCAGTTAGCCTAAACAAATCAATAATTAGACATAACGGTGGGATCCTACTAGAGCGGCGAAAAACATTCAGAAGCCTCGTTACCTTTGACTTAACACCGGAACAGCTGATTTTCAAGCATGCTGTGCCCTTTCCAGCGATGCAGACGAAAATCAGCTGTTCCAGTATTAAGTCAAAGGGAGCGAGGCAGGCGTCTGAATGTTTTCCCTGCTCTAGTGGGATCGCGCTGAATAGGTGTTACGAATCACTGCTCTGAGAAAGGCAAGTTTAGATCCAAACGCAGCTTTATTTGAGGGCAATCCAGAGGCGTAATCCAATGTACAGGCAAGGGTCATAAATAGATAGGCAGTCCAAAACAGATAAACAAAGAAACAAACAAAACAGGCAGGGACCAGAGGCAAGAGAGTAATCCAGGGAACAGGGCAAGATATCAAAAACCAAGAGACCAGGAGACCAGAAAACCATAATAATGCTCAGAATTGCAGTGAAACACTTAAACAAGACTTCGCAAACACTGAACGTGAACACAAGGTATATATAGACACACTAACAGGATGAGACACAGGTGAAAGCAATCAGTGAATGAGGTACAGGTGAATGTGATTAGTGATGAGTCCGGGCAGTGAGTTCTGGGAAATGTAGTTGTGAGGGAAACATGAACATCTGGTGTGGAGTGCCCTCTGGTGACTCTCAAGGGCACTCCACCTGGTGACCGTTACAATAGGTCATAATAATTATATCGGGTATACGTTGGCTCGCGGTCGGCGATCGTTCTAAAACCACCGTCTTCCCAATGTCTTGCCGATTAGCTACCGATCTCCATAAGACATCTTACCGAGGCACTTTATGTCGGGCAGCCACGCGCGCCCCAACGTCGGCACGATCAAATTTGTTGTCTGGGGTGTGTGCTTGGCACTTGCAAACTGCCACTTCCTTTGGTAAAAGCAGTGCATCTAACAATTCACTCACCAGCTGATGGTTCAAGATTGGCTTTCCATCTGCTTTCAGAAATTTTCGATGTTTCCATAATGCACCAAAATCATGGACAACACCAAAAGCATACCTTGAGTCAGTGTAAATTGTAACACGTTGACCACTCGCTAATTTGCATGCTGCAGTCAGAGCAACCAATTCAGCAGCTTGTGCTGAAAAATGTGACGGCAGTGGTTGTTGTTCCAGAATCTCAGTTAAGGAAACTACTGCGTAGCCAGCTCTGTTTTTGCCTAGGTCATCTCTGCTGGATGACCCATCCACATAAAGAATCATGTCACTGTTGGGTAGAGCCTCGTCTGTCAAGTCTGGTCTGGGACTACATATCTGTTCCAAGGCTGAAACACAACAGTGGGGTTCACCGTCCTGCTCCGTTGGGAGCAGAGTAGCTGGATTCAACACATTACACCGTTTAACTGTAACATTTGACAGTTCCAACAATACAAAGTTATATCTCAGCCACCGTGCTGCAGATAAATGAGAAGTCCTCTGTTCTAATAATATCATAGACACAGCGTGTGGCACAAGCAGTGTCAGGTCACTGTAACCCACAAATTCTCTAGAGGCCACCACAGCTCTTTCAGCTGCTGCCACAGCCCTCAGACAGGCAGGAAGTCCTCTCGCTACTGCGTCTAACTTAGTTGAGAAATATGCCACTGGTCTGAGTTTTCCCCCATGCTCCTGTAACAGGACAGAAGACTTGTAACCATTTTTCTCAGCAACTGTCTGTGTAAATGGCTTATCAGGATTTGGGATGCCCAGCGTAGGTGCACTCAGCAAAGCCTGTTTCATTTCACAAAAAGCATGTTCTGCCTCTACAGTCCATGTTAGTTTGTCATGGGCTGCCATATCCTGTCCATAAATTAATGCAGACAGAGGCCCTTCCTTCTCACTGTAGCTTGGAATAAATGTCCTACAATACGAAGTCATTCCTAAAAAAGACATCATTTGTTTTTTAGTGATCGGTTTAGGAATGTTCTGTATGGCTGTAACCCTGCTGTCTGACAGTGATTTTCCATTCGGTGTCAACACGTGACCTAAAAAGGTGACTTTGGTCTGGTTTATGGCCACTTTACTCGGATTAACCTTATGACCCCGCTCGGCCAAATAAGTTAACAACGTGATAGTAGCCTGCATGCAAATCTTTTCATCTGGACAACAGAGTAACAGATCATCAACATACTGCAAAAGAACCACGCCAGGCGGAAGAATTAAATCTTCTAAACTGCGTTTCAAAGCTTCGGTAAAAATAGTTGGACTTTCACAGTACCCCTGACACAATCTCGTAAATGTGTACGCTTTCCCATTGAAGTTAAATGCAAACCAAAATTGTGAGTCAGGGTGTACCCGTCCGGTCGTATTTTCTTTACTGGAAAAATAGGTGTGCGAACAGGAGAGTCCGGACACTCAACAATCACCCCTCTTTCCAGTAAGGAATTAAACACAGGAGTAATGCCCTCAATTGCTTCCTTCTTCAGCGGATATTGCATTTTCTTTGGCCTATAGTCAGACTTGGGCTTTATTCGAACTGCTTCGCACCCAGCAATCAGTCCTACATCATAGCTATCTTTAGCCCACAAACAACTCGGAACTCCCTCCAACCCCTCCGGGATAACAGGGAGCTGCGATAATGTCAGACTGCCAAATCTCATTACCTCTTCCAACACCGTGACTGCTCTCAAACCTCGCAATGTTTTACGACATGGCTGTTTGAACCATCCGGTACTTTCTCTTTGGCAGACCAGTCGTTTTTGATCTATTATGACCCAGTCGGTCAATTCATGACACTTGGCCATGAATGGACCCGCGTCACGCCATTCAGCCTTCACTGGTTTGGCCAGTGATATATGAGGCTGTGCATTCTCCACATCATAAAACATTGCCTGTTTGTCAGTCAGTTTCACACTCAAAACACACCAGTGATTTGTCCAATACAGATAATCTGTCTTTACATCTTCCACATCAGCAAACCAACGCTGTGAATAATCATCATCAGGACTATTGCTGACATGTGAAGTACTGTGCAAGTCTGAATCATTCATAAATTCA